TTGCAATTAGAAGAAGGAAATGTATGAGACTTAGAGACATCAGTCCCACCCTCCATGACTCAGTTTCCCCCATCTCCAACTCATACAGGTGATATCTGCTTCAGTGCAGTGGCTGTGTTCTGTTCTGGGGCTCACTGCAATGCTTGCAGTTCAGGGTGCTGCCCCTTGCCAGGATGCCAACCCACCTGGGCTTAGTGCCTCCCTGGCTGTGCCAAGAGCCCCTTTGGATTGGCACAACCTGGGGTTTGGCTGCAAGCATAGCTGGCACTGATTTGCTCTCACTTTTCTAATAGATGAAACTGAAACAGCTGCTGAGTGGGCATCGGTATGCAGGAAAGTGCTGCCACTGCTCTGACAGTCCCAGCAGTGCCAGGACAAGGTCCAGTTGCATGTCATGTATCGCCACATCAACCTAGAGCTCCAAATCTCCCCTCAAGGCCTATGCAGACCACCGACCCACACCCCAACTGAGCAACGTGCCCCATGGATCCTCTGCTATAATAAAGCCTCAGGTGTCCCAGCCCAGCCACATCACCTCCTCCACGCACTGCGCAGCGCTGGAGCAGCAATAAAAGTGTCACTGCCGTCTCCTCGTGCATCACCAGAGCGCGGCATTTCGGGAGCGGCCCGCGCAGAGGTTAATTATTGCTTCCCTCTCTTCCCCTCTCGCTCCCAGTTTAAGATGGATCTGACTGTCAGCAGGGGTGACAGATGAAGACAAAGCACAGGTACGGCTCCCATGAACTCTGCGCCCGCCTGCATCATCCCAGAGCAGCCAGGAGCGCTTAGCGGAGCTGGGGGAGGCAGAGGAGGGGGCATGGGGAGGAAGAAGTGACCTGTCATCTTGGAGCAGGGATGCCAGGATGGGAGAAGAGAATATGGTTCTGCTCATCCTTCTTATACTTCTAAAGAGGGGCGATTCCCTGGCCATGGGAGCAGGGAGAAGGGGAATATCCTCTTCAGTTTCAAGGCAGCCCAGAGTGCTCCATCAGGAAGATGGATTTGTGCCCCTTCCCCTGCAAGTCGCCTGCAGCTTGTTGCGGTCTGGTTTAGCTCTCAGCCATGTGGAGGGGCTGCCAAAGCCCCAGGGGCTGCGGGCTGGGGGATGCACCAGGGTAGAGCTGCGGCTGCATCACCCTCAAAACCAGGGGTTGCCCTAGTTGGGATAGGGGCAGAGAACACTGCAGTAATGGGGCTGGAAGCAACTGGACCCAAAGCCCCTCTGCAGAGCCCCAGGACAGGGCAGGAGCTCCACCTCCTGTCCCCATCTTGTGGCTGAACCCGCAGGGAAGGTCTGACTCCAGCCGTTCCCCAAGGACACGCTTCCTCTCCAGGCTTTCCGGCTGCTTCAGCCTCATTTGATGCCATTTACTGCAGTCGCTGAAGGAAACATCACTTCAAATTAAACCAAAGGGGAGCACTTCAGCCGGACAACTTTGAAGTAGGAGATTTTGATAAAAGCCCACATTTCCTCCCCCTCTTGATCTTTGTTTTCCTCTCCCAATGCTGAGTTCTAGCCTGGCCCAGACAGCGGAAAGCTGTGGCTCTCTCCTGGAGACCAAACACAGCACCAAATATTCTCCCCCAGGATGAAGCTGTGGGCTTGGTACCCCAGGTGCAGCTCCCAACCCCAGCAATCCTCCTGAGCTGCACAGCCTGGGGACCTGGATGGGAGCACATCCCTCCCAGCACGACAGCTAAACAAGCCGAGACAATTAAATGTGCTGTTTGATGGCTGCCTGGCAGAGCCTCTCTCTCTTTTAATAAAAGGACTCTTTCCTGAAGTCGCTCAGGCTGCAGCAAGGGCTGAAGCACGGGAGCCCTTCACATTTAATTAAACAGCACATCCAAGGCAGCATCCATGCTGCTAGGGATGCTCTAGCACAGGACAAGCAAAATGTCCCTGCCCAGATGCTGGCCCCCGACCCAGGAACAGGGATTCCTTTTTATGGACCCCATCCCCACTTCCACCAGCTCTGCTCCTCATCAGGAGGCAGAGGGAAGCACCCTGATCCTGCCCGGGTGCATAAGAGAGATGGATAAGGGCAGGGGCAGAGGGGACACTGGGCAGCTGCAGGATGTCCCAGAGAGCACTTGCTCAGCTGGGACCTTCAGCTTAACCCTTCCATAACCGTGGGTGGGTGGCAGAGAGAGAGAGGTGGAGTTTGGGGTGACTCGAGGTCAGGAGACCCATTCTGATGTGCTCCAGTCCATCACTGCACTCCCAGGACATCCCAGATCTGGGGTGTGAATTTACAGGTTGTTCACCCAGGAGCTGCAGTTTCCCCGGGGCGTGGGGCTGGCAAGCTGTGGAAGAGCACAGGAACCCCCCAACCTTCATGGGTGCAGCGGCTGCTGCCATCACTCACACTTTGAGGCCTGCCAAGCCAAAGGCGTGGTAATTGTGAGCCAGATCTCCCCACTTTGGAAGCAGCAGGGACCAGGCACGGAGGCTCCCATTTCCGCCTGCCTCCGGCTGTTACGGACCAGAGAAGTGACAGAGAACAGCCCCAGGGCCAAAAACACCGTGAGGAGAGACAGCAGCCAGCTCTGCGATAAGGCCATCCCCCCACACTGCCCAGATAACCCCCCAGGCATCAGGCACAGCCAAACCAGCACTCCCCAAAGCATACCCAAATCCCAGCGCCTCAGTTTGGGGGACGTGACACCCCCTCTCAGCCAGCACCTCGCAGTGCCAGAGATGGCAACCTGCCGCTGTTATTAAACTCTTTGCTTCCTGTTTTAAGCTGAATAATAAATTGCATGTCACATTACGGCAGTGTTTATTAAAACCCATTGGCGTGGGCTCTGCGCTGCGACGGCATTCGAATTATTGAAAGCCACCCCCCGTGGAGACCCATTTGCTGCAAACACTGGAGGATTAGTTTCCATTTTATTTATCAGCCTGCGTAAGTGCTGGGCAGAGGCAGGGAAATGCTCTTCTTCAACCTGAATTGGGGTGAGGAGGGGTCACCGTGCAGAGGGTACAAGAGATGCTGCTGTTGCCAGGGTGTGGGACAGGCTGGGGACAGAGGTCCTGCTCGCAGGTGGCCGCAGCACTTGAGTCTCTATAGCTTGGCTGCTCCGCGCCTTAGTTTCCCCGCGGCCAAGCGAGGGAGCTGCATCGGGTGCTCAGCTCCGCGTCCCGCGGTGGCTCCGCCGGGAGGTGGCACTGTTCGGCGGTGGATGGGGACAGCGCTGCGGTCCCCCGAGTCCGGGGAAGGACGGCGGCAGCTGCTGGGAGGACTGCAGCTCCCGCTCCCCGTGGTTCGGTGGCTGCTCAGGATGCGTGCGCCTGAACAAGCCGCTAGCAGCACCAGGACGCGAGGGTGGGACGAGCACTGAGAGTGTCCATTAGGGCACCCTCGTGTCACCCCTGGGCAGTCACCATCCTGGTCCTGGAGCGTCCTGTGGATCAGAATGTGCCTTCCTGCAAGAGGCTGTGGAAAAACCCAGCAGCAGGGGTTGCATGCACTGTGGATTTGGGCTCAAGAAACCACAGACCTGTGGCAGAAAGCAACTGATTCCAGAGCTTGATCTGTGAGTGCACAACCAGAGCAGCCAAAATATTTGGGGCGACAAAGAAGCACCAACCTTGCATGTACCCTACAGGGCTTTGGGTTTGGTGGAGGTTTGACTGCTCCTTCAGCGCACATCCCTGGGTGACAGCAGGATGGGACCCTTTCCTTTGTCCCCAGCCCTGCGATAGCCTTTGGTATCATGGAGTGCCCTGGGCAGACAGGAGGTGCTGGGGCATGTGCACCTGGTGGCCATATTAGTGAGGCTCCCCAGATCCCCAGAACCCTCTAGGTGCCCGGAGCTGAGCATTATCCTCATGCATCCCCTCAAGGAGGCACCCGTGCAGAGCTGACCAAACATTTCAGAGGCAACAAATAACCTCAATTATGCTCTGTGGCAGTGACCGATTCCAGGCACATAGCGATATCAGCTCCTTTAATTTTTAAGTGGCACAGGGGACACCAACCCCACTGCCTTGCAGGGAGTGGAGACCCGGATTTGCAGCTGCTGCCCTATGGATGGGCTCCAGCCCCTCAGTCCCCACCAGCCTGGTGACGCAGTGGCACAGGCAGGGCTGGCACAGGAGCATGGCTAGGGGCCAGCAAAGGGCCAGGTGGCTCCGAGCCATGGGATGCTCTCAGGTTTCCCTACTGCAGCCACAGCCACAGCATGGCCCAGTTCCACAAACACTTGGTGTACAGAACAGGGAGGGGATTAGCAGTGGGGGAAAACAGCTCAGGCAGCAGCAGAAGCAGCACAGGAGCCAGGGCTGCCCCAGCTCCACGGAATTCACCATCATGGAAAGAGCCCAGGAGACACCGCAGAGGTGCAGGGACCTGGTGGGGTTGGGGAGGCATTACTGCTGGCTGCAGCATGGGTAGGGGCCAGCCCAGCCTTACTGGCTGAAGGAATTTCAGGCCGCTGCCAACTTCAGACAAACCCCTTTTATTTGCTCGCTCAGGTTTTGATGCTGTAATTGCATCGTCTGAGCCAGCTCTCAAGAGAAAGAGGAAGGAAAGAAAGAAGAAAGGGAAGGAGAGCAGCCAACCTGGAGGGACCCCATGGGACGATCCCTGTTGGTTGCTCAGAGCATTGCGTGTACACTTGGCTCATCACTCACTGAGATGTCAGCATAGAGAGCTGCTTGGGACAAGAAGCATAAAGCCGATCCAAAAAGGCCAAAGCGTTTGTGGCCACGTGGGCTTTCAGGACAACATTGTCCAGGGGTGAAACCACAAATGTCAGGTTGCCTCAAATCACTACTTTTCTGGTTAAGAACAAGATGGGAAAGAAGGGAGTTTTGGCAGCAAGCTCCTGGGTGTCCCTGCCTGAGGGTGACACACAAGCCACACTGTCATCTGGAACAGGCTGCCCAGAGAGGTTGTGGATGCCCCGTCCCTGGAGGTGTTCAAGGCCAGAGTGGATGGGGCCCTGTGCAACCTGGTCTAGTATTAAATGGGGAGGTGGCCCTGCCTGTGGCAGAGGGGTTGGAGATTCATGATCCTTGAGGTCCCTTCCAATCCAGGCCATTCTCTGATTCTCTGTCTCCAGCCCAAAACAGAGGTGTTCAGAGAGTTGTTCAGGGCTGGGGTGTGTGCTCTGGATCCATCCCTGACCCCAAAGCACCATGGGGCGAGTGCTGCTCAGTGCCAAGCTCCGCAGCTGGGCTAGTAGTACTCCTCCTCGCTGTCCACGTAGTCCTCAGGCACGGCACGGGGTTCCGGCAAGGACAAGCCCGTCAGGTTGAGCTGGTCTGAAACAGCAGCACGGGGACTCTGTGACACTGCCACCCTTGAAAGCCAGTGCCCTGCCCAAAGGTCCCCTCCCTCTGCTCACCTGGAGTGAGGACAGTCAGGCTGGCCACTGCCATCACAGCCCCGACCCTGTTCCTGGCGAAGCAGCGGTACGTGCCCTCATCTGTCACCCGCACGCCCTGGATCTGCAGCCAGCCGGTCACCTCGTACTTCTGGGGGCCACCTCTGAACTGCAAAGGGAGAGACAGCAGTAAGCCCCAGGGTGAGGGAACCCCCCTCGGGATGACCCTTTGGGGTTGTGAGGAGTGGGATGCGGAGAAGCTCTCTTTACCCTATTAAGCACTGCTCTGGGGTGGGAGCCAGCCCTAAGCTCCCTGGCGCCAACTGTGCTATGTCCTGTTTGTCCCCAGCAAGAAACAGCTTCCTCCGGCCCCAGCTGTGCTGCAGCTGTGTTTGCAGGCAGCTATTTCAGTGCAGTGGCCAGGGATGGAGGATGCCTCCATCCACACCCTATAATAGCTGGGTATGACCCAAGAGAGCTATATTTGGGGCTGGCCACAGGCAGAATGCATGCATGGTAAGCAGAGATGAACCAGGCTGATCCCCCTGTGCAGTCCCATGTATACAAGTTCAGCAATGACCTGATGCGTTTTTACATCTTGGTCACCGTCCCCTATGCCAGCCGCTCACCTGGACAGAGATGTGGGGGTCATCTCCTGGCAGCAGCATCTCTGTGCCATCCTTCCTCCACTCGATGGACGCCATGGGGTAGGCAAAGACCTCGCAGCCAAAGATGATGTCCTGGCCAGTGACATTCCACACATCATAAGGAGGGGAGGTGATTTGAGGCTCTGGGAATAGAAGATGGGGAGGAGACAGGGAAGAATACTGGGCTGAGGGTATCAGGCTCTGGTAGTGATGCCAGGACCCTTCCCATTCCCCTCTCCTCACGCGTACTTGCAGAAGGTCACCCCACAGCTCCCCAGTGACCCATGGAGGGCTCCAACTCCTCCCAGCCTCACTTCCCCCACCTGAACAAGGAGCTCCCCTGTGATGCAGCCTTCAGGTCTCCTGTCCTGGCCACAAATCTCTCCTCTCTCTGTGCCTGTCCCAGCTCTTATTGGCAGCCAAGAGGGAAAAAGCTCAAAGACACCACAAGATACATAAAACAAAGTCAACCCCAATCCCCTCCTTGAGCTGCAGTGAGTGGTGTCAGAGGGTTGTCCCAAGCCCCATAGTCACACACATGGCTTCAAATGGGAGATGGAAGCAGTGCAGCCCCCTGACCTGGCCCAGCTTTCCATGAAGGAGCCACGTTCCTGGGGCGTTCCTTGGCCCCAGCCACACTCCATGCACGCTGCAGCCAAAAGCTCACTAACGACGCCTGGCTCTGCCCCAGCCAGCAGCGCTCACTGCCTCCCATAAATCCTGAGCTGACTTGGCACAGCCTCCCCCTGCACCAGACCCACTGCAGAGGGGCCTCTGGTTGAAATATCGAAGCCAACCTCCCATCCTTGCGCTCCCTCTCCTCACGCACTACCTGCCTCGCAGGGACCCTCATGGACCACGGTGAGGTTGGCATCGGGGTGGGCACGGGCAGACTCGAGGAAGCGGCAGATCTGGGGGTAGGTGCGCCCGTCGGAGCCGCACAGCGCCTGGTGCGAGAGGCAGACGCACTGGGGCTCAGGCACCTCGCCACGCTGCAGGTCTGCAGCCTCCAGCTGGCATTCCAGGTGCTCCCCACATTTGCCATAGAAGTGGTTGGTGTTGTCCAGGTCACAGATCTGTCCCTCCAGATTGGCGCACTCCCAGCAGCAGTCACAGGCGTCCCGCACCGTGCCGGCCAGGCAGCCGCGCGGCACCGGGCACTCCTCTGGCCGGCACTCGGCACAGCCCTCACCCTCCTCCAGCAGCCGCTGCCAGCCCCGCTGCAGGTACTCAGAGCTGCTGGGGAAAGCTCGGCCGGGTTGGAGGCAAGCCCAGTGCAGGGTGAGCAGGGAGAGCAGCAGGCAGGAGGAGCTCAGCACCTCAGGCATCCTCGTGGCCGCTCCCAGAGCCCGGTTCCAGCATCACTCGGGTGGAGATTTGGATGGGTCAGAGCCAAGCGGCCATCGCGATCTGCAAGGAAGAGAACATGTGATAGCAGCACTGCGTGATGTGCCACATCTCGGGATCCTCCACCTCCTACCACACTACAGAAGCGGCCCCCACTCCCAAAATGTGCTGCTGTACAACCCCTTTATCCTCTTCCCTGATTGGATGCTGACCCATACCCACAGGCTTCAGCCTTCTCCCCCAGCAGGTAGAACACAGCCTGTTGTAATCCCACTTGAGGGGCTGCCTCATATTCTCCTGCTTTGTGCTCTGCTCCTCTCAGGGAGCAGCTCTGGAGCCAGGCACCCCTCTCCTTTTCTCACCTCTCCTCAAAAGTCATGAGGATTTTTCCCTCCATCACTGCCCAGAGAAGCAGATGAAGGGCTCTTTCCATGCAGGAGGCAGCCAGCCCAGGGGAATGTAGCCAGAAGGATGCTCCCAGTCATGCCTGGCTTTTGTCCTCCTCTCCCTGCTCTGAGCCCCACATCTAGCCACACCAGGAAAACTCTGCAAATTCCACAGTTATCACACTGGTGGCTGAGCACCAGGGAACTCGGTGCGCAAGTGAGAACAACGGGGTTCTCACCCCCCAGCCTGTGTTAACCCCTCTCCTGCAGCAAGCAGAGGGGCCAATTGGCCCTCAGGCATCCCATCTCTGCTGGGGAGGATGTGCAGGTCCATCTGAGCTGTGCCCTCCCCCAACCCCCAGCTTTCAGCCCCTGTGCTGGAGGGGCAGAGTGAAGTTACAGCCATCTGCCCTGCAGCAAGTGGAGGCAGAGAGGTAAAATCCAGCATGGAGAGACGCACCTGACCCCCTTCTGGGAGCCCCCACTCCCCTAGCGGGGCTTCAGCCCCCTGGTAGCCCCACAGGAGCCGGACTAAGGCAGCCCAAAGTAAGCCTGACAGGGATTTGTTACCCCCCCGGATTACAAAAGGGAGAGCAGAGTTCTGCCCCATTAACCGGAGACCCCCCGGCAGCGGGGGAAAAGGGGCAGGGGGGTGGGGGGATCCTGCTTGCCCTCCCTCCCTGTCCCCGGACTGTAGGGAGGAAAGCTCCAACCCCAGGAAAAGGGGCCAGGAAAGGGGCGGACGATACAACGCTACCCTGAATCTCTATGAGAGTTGTCCCGGGGTGAGGGTCCAGCTCGCGACAGCACTTACCGGAACGCTGTGCGGGCCCCACCGACGGCTGCGATGCACAATGGCTTTGGCAGCCGCGCGGCGCGGGGCTCCGCTGCCACCGGCCGTGATGTCAGCGCCACGCCAGTCCCCACGCCCCCCGCGGGCCCCGGCCCAGCTCCGGACGGGCCCTGCGCTGGCGGCCACCCCTTCCCTGCCGGGCCGGGATCTTCCATCCGTCAGCAACACACAGCTTCCAGAGCCCCCGTGCCTCAGTTTCCCCAGTGGGATCTACGAAGGCACTCACCTCTGTCCTAGGCTGAGCATAAGCACTGTGCTGGGGGAGCCTGCGGGGGGGGGGGGGGGGGCGCCCGCGCAGGGCCCGTCCGGAGCAGGGCCGGGGCCGGGGGGGGGGGAATGGGGGGTGGGGGGTGGGGAAGGGG